TAGTATCTATACTAGTTTCAAAAATAATTTTGAACTTTTAAAGGCAATTATAACATGATGTTGACCCGGGTCAAACCTGGGTCAATTAAATCATGACCCGACCCGTTTCGGAGCTCTATTTATTCATGAATATCATGAATATCATTAAGGGGGTTACACACTATTAAAACAGCAAAAGATCCCTTAAAAACATGAGTTGATCACTTGATTTTAATAGTGTATGACCCTGTGTGACCCCTTTATGATATTCATGTATGCAAACCCTAGCCAGCACATTACCTTGCTTATTTGCTGAACTTGTTGACATATACTCAAAGAGTCATGACTTGAAATCGTGTGAAATTAAAATTAATCAATCTTGGAGACTAGTATCAGGAAAGGCAGTAATGGAACATGTACAACTTTTTACCAAGTATTTTCCTGAATTATTTTCATTATCTAATTCTTTAGAAGACTACTCCCTCTGTGAAAGACATTACAATCAAATTGTTGCTAGTAACTCTCTTCTTCAAACATTACAAGCAGGTGACTTTACTTTTATGGAATATGGTCAATATAAAAAACAAAAGAATGATAATTTGTCTCAACATTTCTTGAGCCAAAGTGGAATTCAGGTATCCCTACCAGATCTAGATATTTTATCAGAACTGTCACAGACAAAAAAAAAATTGGCTGATTCTTTATCTCAATGACTGGAATATGTTGACATAATAAATGAATACAAGAAAAAAATCCATGAACTTTCTTTGTCATTATCTTCACCTTCATCATATCTCTTTCTTCAACATCTACTTATACTAAAAAATTGGAACAAGAGTTAAAAGCAGCAGATGATCAAATTAAAATTTTAAATAATGAAAAAGAAAATTTAATTGCAGAAAATAATAACCTCAAAAATCAATTTGCTACCCAATTTAATACTCAAGAGAAAAAAATCAATGCTATCATAGATATTGCTTTGGCAGAAAGAAATAACATTTATCAAGATATTCAAAAATCAATCAAAAATGTGGAACGTTTCACTTTGTCAAATCTTTTAACCTATTCTCCTACAAAATGGCTTGAAGAACAGAATCCTGTTGTAGTTAAATTTATTGAAATACTTACAAATAACAAATATAATGATCAAAGTGAACAAATGCAAGAAGAAAAAATTTTTAAACATGCTATAGCACTGGAGGCAATTTATGGCTCAAGAAATTGTAAGTATGTTTCTGCAATAAATCTTGCCATATCTGCTATCAAATATTCATTGGCAAGGTCAAAAATGATAGTAGATATGGATAATCAGATAATGAGTTCTGGTAGCTATTCAAAATTTGTTGATTGGTTGGAGAGCTTAGTAATTGAGCCTGAACCTTTGCCAGATGGATTTTTAATTTTAGCTTTTGACAATGAACAAAGAGGTCAAAAAAATTATTTAGATCATGGCAACAATTCAGTTATTTTTCATGTGGTTACTAGCTTTGTTGCTTTTAATTTCAATCCACATGATAATAGCCAGTTAACAACAAATCCTTGGAAAAGTGATTCACTTACTTCAGATGAAATTGAACAATTATTAGACATAGATGATGATATGCAAAGAGAATTTGAGTTAGAGCTTCATAATTTTTCTTGGTGACATAATAAGTAATTTGTGTAATGAAAAAAAGAAGGAAAAAAATCAATTGGACCAGCTTGTTGATAATCAAAATAATCTTCCTAACAAAATGAAAATATGTCTTAATTGTTCTGAAAAAAATATAGATAATAAAAAAAGAATTTGTCCAAATTGTAATGAGAAGCTACCAACCCTTGATTCATTAAATTTAAACCAAAATTCTCAACAACCATCTGAGAGTGCATCTTCAAATAAAGAAATAATTTTCAGACATCACTCAATAAAAAAATCTGAACATGATGCTCAAAAATCTAAACTTAGCATAACACAAAGACTTATACCAGACAAAGGAGTAGAAGTTCCAGACATTTACATTCCAGATCCAATACCTGTAAATCCAAATTCATTAAAAAATGTTGAAATTGTATTAAAACATATAGAAAACATTACAGGAATCAAATCAGGGAAACATAAATGGGTACCTATTGTGTATGATGGTGTGCCTTATAATCTTGCACTGAAATTGAAAAATGATTTTCCTTGGCTAATTTTGCTTCCTGGAGCTCTACATGAAGAAATGAATATGCTTAAAGCATTTGTAGAATTAAATTGGTAAAAAATTTTAAATTTTAGATTGCAATTATTATTTGAAAATAAACTAATTACCTATATTATATATATAGGGAAATAGATATTAAATCATTTGCCAAATGTCAAGGTTATAACAAATCAGAAAAACAATTGGATTTTTTCAGAAGATGTGGTGATTTTCATAAATCTTGGGATTCTATATGTAACATTTATCATCATTCAATGGCTTCTGAGTTGATTTGGCCTTATATTAAAAATGAAGAAAAACCAACTGTTGACAATTATCTTGAATGGTCCAGAACTCAAACAAATGAAATCTATAAACTTAAATTTGAGTAAGTTGAGTTTTAATTATATTTTTCAATTTTTCAATGAATTGATTCAATAAAAAAAATAGTAAATAATGCTGTTATATTTATTAACATTAGACTTTTATTTACCTGCAAGCAATTATAAACTTTCGCATTGGTGTAAGAACAAACAATCCCTTGCTACAAAATGCAGCTAGACATCAATTTGCACCAATTTATAAATTATTGGAAGTATCACATGAAGCACTTTTGTCACGTTTAAAACCTCCAGTTAGAAAAAACATTGAAAAGGCATTAGTAATTTCTAGATCTGGACTTTGGAATCAACATCAAAGGCCTTGATGCAATCATTAAAATCTATGATTCCTCCAGTACCTTCTCAACATCACTGGGAAATTGCAGCAAGAAATTGCAAAAATTTCATGAGGGTAAGTATAGTTCATTCTCTATAATGGATCTTGCTCTATAATGGACTGAGAATTTAAGCCCAATTTATATGTCCCATATTAGTATATAATCATTACTGTCTATAATATCCAATTGTCCATTATAAAGTGAACTGTAATTTAAACCAAAATAATTCTAATTGTTTAAAAAATTTAGCTATGTACCAACCTTTTTAATATGATTGGATTTAAAGAAAGAGAAAGTTTAGGACCATGGAAAATACCTGATTTTAGTGCTGAATCACAACGGTTTAGAGTAGAACTGAGGAAGAACCAATTTTTCACAAAAAGCCATTTTAAAAATTTGAAAGATGATGTTATTTTGAGTGAAAAAATGAAAAATTTTAATTATCTTGCAAAAGAAAAAAGGAACACATTGTTGAAAGAAATCTTATTGCAAGAAGCTTCTACTAGTACCTGGCATCCTATTCCAATAACTGAACAAGAAGAAACAGCACAGCAAGATGAAAAAAATATGAATAAAAAAGAGTTATATCAATTATTGATTCTATATTTTTTTCCCTTCCTGAAACATTACAACCAAAATATAATAGTTTGAATAATAAAACAAAAGGAAACTTATTAATAATTTTGCAAGAATTAAGAAATATATATGATACTGTTGAAACAGTTGAAGAATTTTCAGATTAATTGTGTATACAGTGAACCCTCCCTAAATGCACGCACTATGTATACCCTCCATAAATGCATGCTCACAAGAAATAGCACTATGTTCCTGAGGGGGGTGCACTTATAGAGGGTTCACTGTATATATATATATATATTAATATTAATAAAATAATATTGCTGATCAAAAAGAAATTTCTGGAATTTTTTCTGTTCCATAGATCCCTACTTTTAAGGAAATTCCATTTCGGGGAATAATCCTGACTGTTATAAAAATAATGTGTTATTTTTAAAAAATGGTCAGTTACATGAATTAGAAATTTTTTATTTAATATATAAAATAAAGTGATAGGACATGTCACACAACTATTATATTCATATGTGTAAAATTTTTTTTGACATGCTCAATTGCAAGTATAAGCAGAAATAAATGTCCAAATATTACATTATTATGAATATTTACAGATTTTTGATCACTTAGGTATGTCTTTTATAGTAAAATCATTTATTTTAAAGTAAATATAATAAATAAATAGATTTGAAAATTTTTCTTTACCTATATACATAAATAATGATTAGAATAATAAACAAGCAACAATGATGATTAAATTTAAGGCTCCAAATGAATCAATGAAATTCGAACCAATTCGAACTGAATCAAATTTGAATCAAATCAAATCACTTAATTTTTGATTTGAATATATAATTTGGTTCTAATGGATTCAAATTAGGACTGATTTGATTCGATTCAAACAGACTCAAATATATAATTTGATTTGATTCAATTCAAACAGATTTGAATATATAATTTGATTCGAACAGATTTGAATTTGATTTGATTTGATTTGATTTGATTTGATTTGAATGGATTTGAATATATAATTTGATACACAATTCAAAAAATCTTTATTTTAATGTATATCTTATAATTTTATTTACAAAAACATTTTTTATTTTATATTTATTTATATAGTATTGTAAAATTCAAAAAAAAATTTTTACTTGGAGCAATAATTGCATCTCTTGTTGAAGAAGCATCAGTAATGAATTGTACAACTGTAAATTGTTACTTTTTTACTCATTATTAATAATATAGGTCACACGACCATTAATATTAATATTAATATCAAGAAATCCGTAAT